CTTCATAATTGTTACAGAAATTGCAATAAATGAAAGCCTGCCCTGCCAGCTCTTCTCTCCATCTCCACCTCCAGGGTTTGTTCTAAACATTACAAACCTTGATGCAGCTTCAAAGCCACATTTTATTAAATTGAAAATATTGCAAAGGTCGTATTTTCTGCTTCTTACAAGGCCAGAAGGCTTTTTTTCCCCACCCTTCAATAAACTGTACTTGACCACTCAACTTGCACTATTCAGCCATGAATGACAGCAGCTTTTTAACGCCTAAACACATTATTTTAAAGTTTTGCAAGTCATCTTTTGAGGTATGGAAAAAAGATACCCTCAGACTTCCTAGAGGCTTTAGTGGAGCTCAGCTGGTTTGGTAACTGCAGTCTCACTGCAGTCAGTGACACATCAGTCTAACTTGAGGGTTAAAGGAAAATGGAAAACGCCTCTATGCTTTCAAAATTTTATTTTAAAATGTCTTATTTTACCAGAATGGCCTATGCTGTTCTGTTCAAATCCCCCAAGCATTTTACAACTTGGAAATGGAGAGAAACAGGACGAGCGAGAAGTCAGACGTTCAGTGAGCTGCTACTGAGGTACGAGTCTCCTTCACCTGCCTTGGCATGTGTGGTGTGAGAAGTTTTAGAAGATAAACTTTCCAATGGAAGAATTAATTTCTTATCAAAACTTAATGCTGGCTGATTTCTTAATCTCAAAATCTTTCAGAAGAGGCAACTTCAAGGGCTGCCCCTGCAGCTGCCACGCAAGGCAAGTGGCATTCCCATTTGGGCAAGGAGCTGTCATGGCAAGCGGAGGAGATGCTGAACGTGACTTTTCCTCCTCTACCAAGACCAGGCATATTTGGCCATCACCTCTTCAGGTGTCTGAGTACAAAATACAGTTGTATTGTGAATATATTCTAGAGTAGCATGGGTTGTGCCTCAAGATACCAGAACAGACACCAGCTAGCTTACTCAAATGGTAAAACTGAGGAATGCTTTTGCAGCAGGCAATCATTTTAATACAGGATTTTGCTCATCGCATTTGCGTCGATACCAGTGTGGTGGCTTTGGGATCTTCTGCCTTTTTTTCTTTCAAGATGGAACCCACCAGTCACTGTTGCTGCTGACTGCTCATGTGAAAGGATGCTGCTCCGGAGGGGCTGGTGGCAGCACGATATTCCAGCTGTCACTCCCATACTTACCAATACGCTCCAGTGTCAGAGCTCAGAAATCAATAACTATCTAGTGATGGAGTTCTCAGCTGAGAAGATTTAGTCATTTTCTGGGAAGAAATCCAAACAACATTTAAAACGTGTTTGGGTTTTTTTTTTTTTTTCCCCAATAGTGCTGTTAAAAAGGTCAGAGCAAGAGAAGAATGAAATCCGAAGATGGAATAGTACAAATCCACCGCACAGCAGCATTGGGTATGGATACACAAAAATTGTTGTGATCACATCCCTCTCACTTTCCCAAACAGTTGTTGCAATAATTTTGCAGTTCAGTTGAGCTTCAAATTTTTCATCTCCAGCTACAATAATATTCATGATGCTTTATCCGATTTCCCTCACCCAGTCCAAAAGGCATAAACAAATCCCTATTTCAGTCACCACTCAATGCTGGCTGCAAAGCGACCAGAGAAAAAAAATCAATCTCATTCTTAGTATTCTATAGTACATTTATAATAATGTGTTTCAATTAATTACAATTTATCCATCTTAGAAGAGGTAGAGGCAGCGTTGGTAATGCATGGCCTGATCCTGCAATGCGGCACGTACATCTGCCTCACGTGGGGCTTTATCGGCTCCTTTTGGGGCCAAATGCAGCTCAAGGATCTTGCCACCTCAGATGCTGAGCTCCTCTGCAATTAGACGTGGAAAATGGAAAATAAAAAGGATGTGAAAGCTTTGTGTACAGTGGTGTGCCACAAAGGTAGTGTCCAAGGAAAACCACAAATAGCAGCGCAACTGCCAGCCAACCACGCTGCTAAATCATCTTGCCACCTGTCAATTGTGTTTTAAATGAAAGATTTTAACTAAATATGGAATTTTTTAAACCACCAGTAACCATCACTAAACATTGTGGTTGCAGCAGAACAGAAAATAATTTTCAGTGGCTCCACCTTGAATTTCCCTGGCTGCTGCTGAGCGCGGCTGAGCGCACTTACCTGCAAGCCAGCTGGGAGCGAGCCCTCGGACCCTGCCTGCTGCAGCGGGAGATGGCATCCCTAGGGAGATGGCATCCATCCGGAGCTGGGGGCAAAGCAACAAACCACTGTGTGATTTTTTTTTCACATGTAAGAATGTGTTTGTAACATAGAAAAATAAATGTATATGAAATGTTTGCAAATAAAAGCTTTCATTTTATATTTTTACATATCTGGTTTCTTAAAGCAAACTAACTTGTACATAAACAGAAGAGAAATACTCACATACTCTACCTTTAAAAATACAGGGTGATATGTAATTTTATATAGCAAAGGATTCCAAATCTCTCTGCTGTCCATCTGATTCACAACGAATTACTCTGATTTTTCTGTTTGACTCTTGTGCAGGGCTGAGTCTGTATTAGTGGGGACAGAGTCGGTAAGGTGCTGATCGGGAAATATTTTCTCTGAGTCAGATGAAACCAATCTTTTCTCTTTTCTCTCAAGTGATGAGGTGTGTCATGTCAAACTACAATTTTCATTACAAGTTATACGATGCTTTTTTAGGTAACTGTGAGAAAAAAAGACACAAGGAATCATACCATCGGCAGAGAATAGATTAACTTCAAGGTGACAGGGAAGAAAAAAGCAAATTGCGGTCTCATTTACAGAGCAATTCCCCTGACCGCAGGAGAGTTTCAACAATTTGAGCCACAAAAATTTGAGCTGTGTCACCGAAAACTAAATATAATTGAATAAGATTGCTTAGAAAGGAACTACAGGCTATCCACTACAGCTTTTAGTCTCTGTTATTTAGCATTTTTAAAGGTGTGGGTGCTCAGTTCATTTAAATTTGGTTCTCTCAAGTCTGTCAAAGGAGGACCACTGAGCAGCAGCTGAAAATGTATTCCCTCAAAGTTAGTACCCAGACAAATATAAATTCTTAAATACATACTTTTTTAAACATATTTCATAGGGGACAAGTGGCACAGCTGATGGCATAGGACTGATGGCAGGCGGGCAGATTTTTACCTCAGTTCATTTAAAAATATCCTTGGACTATAAATACTTGGACTATGCTCTTTATATGCAACTAAATGGCGAATAGAACTATTGGATTAATAAACCTGTAGAGGTGGATCAGTCTAATGAAGTTCACCCATATTGCTATGGTTAAAATATAACTGAAGTACCGGACAGAAAATGAGAGACAGGTCTCTTGTTTCTTATTTCTATCGAAAGGCTGAAAAGCTTCCTGTTGGTCTTCGGTGCTTAAATCGTGTTTTGACTGATTTCCACTATGTTACGTATGTTAAGTACATATATGGGGCATATAAATTATTTATGAATAAAATTTATAAATTCTTAAAAGTAATGACATCAAAAGTATCATTGAAGTCCTATATAATTTGAAACAAAAATACGCAAGACCATATCATATAGAAGACCAGTTGTACATCTCAGAAATAAAATACATTGATTTCAAATGTGATTACTGCTTTAAAGTTTTGAATCAAGAAATCATAACACTAGAACAATTACAGTATAATATCACTGCATTACAGGTATTTTCTCCTCCCAAGAAATTCTTTGCCATCTCAAATTCATAGAACTTTAATTTCTCAATGTCTTTATAGTACAAACCAGTCAAGCTTCAGGAAGGTAGCTCAACACGTTTATTTAGCAGCACTGTTAAAACAGACTGCTTTCCAAAGATTAATTAAAAAAAATGCTGGATGCTCCAGAAGCATGACTTGAGTATAACGTGGGTTAATGACATTATAATTAATAGAAATAAAAACTAATGGAATTTATTTTACTTTATCTTGACAACAGATTATTAATTTAGGTTTCAGATTTCACACAAACAAAATGCGGACCCTGGTGCCCAGTTTACCTCAAATTCTAGAAATTTGGCTTCAGTCTTATTATTAAGCAATGTATATTCTCTTTGATATCATGTTGTTACTGTCTTTTGTCTTTGTTTAGATCAATTTGGGCAGAAGAAAAGAACATATTCTCTTGCTTTATAGTCCAGAACAGATTTTCTTCAGTATTGCTCCCTTTACATATCCACTACTTCATTGAAATGAATCCCTATTTAAGGTATTTGTGTCCTCCCTGTCAAAAAAAAGGTCAAAAAAAGGGAAGGAATTACTGCGTGAAAATATATGGAATTTAATTAAGAATTTTAGCTCTTCCTTAGAAAATCAACTATTGACTGCAGATAGAATGTCCTTACCCCCAAAAAGCCGAGACCAACCCAGTTTATTTACAAAGAGCGTAAAGAATTTAAAAGAGGTCTCAAAAGAGATAGTTGGGTAGCTGTTAAGCAAGCTGGGAATTTGAACAGAGAAGGAACATTTTATTAATCTTTACCGTAACGTATTAGATACAGGTTAGATACAGATTTAGCAAAAATTCTTTCCAGCCTAGTTATCAGCCTTTCAAGAGAAAAAGCAAGAACAGGCCAGAAAATTTTGTCAGGGAGTAAAAAATCTCCCAGAAAGCAGTAAGGCGAGCTGGGAACCCTGGCCCCGCAGGCGTCAGGCTCTAGAAGATGTCGCCAGAGCCGTGATCTGAAAAGCTACGGGTCAGCAAGGCAATCATAAATCATCTGCCGATGATTCCCTCCCAGCTTTTGCCAGGCTGGTTTTGTTGTAACTATGGCAACACCTTTTCTCCAGACCAAAGTTCAATTATTTTACATTTTTATTACCACTGCTGTTTGCTTAAAGTTTACCAGGGTAACTTTCTGCTAGTACAGAGAGCAGATCCCAGATAGCGAGAAGGAGGAAACAACCTCATGCTAAGCAGGACTAAAGAGAAGAAAATACCCTGAACCAGTGGAAAATCTGTCTGACAAAATGCCGTCCAGAAAAAAAACAGCCATGTTTGCATCCGCTTTTTTTACCTGTGTTTGCTCTTTCGTGATGATTTGTGTTGTTCTGGCGACCCAGCACTGGATGAGTAGTGAGGTTCGCTTTTCTGGCACAAACTCCAGTATTACTGTAAGCCTCACCTACGGACTTTTTAGCGGTACCTGTGAACAGTTCGTCGATGCGGGACTTCAGCTTACAGAGAAGACTTTCCAAGGTGAGTGGTGTTACGCATGGAAATGGATGGCGTCTTCTTGCTCATGCAGGTGACGGACGTAGGAACCGCGGCTCATTCTTTTATTCATCTGTGACTATAGTACTTTAAGTGAGAATAAGAACATCTGTAAACCAGTCTGGGGATTTAAGTGGTATAAAAGAAGACCCCAAAAAAGCACAGAAATGCTGCACCATTCTTGCCAATAGTAACTTCTTCTAATTACCTGTGATCTTAGCCTACGCCTTGGAACAAGGAAAAAACACAAAATAGGAATTTTACATAGAATTGATTTTAATTTTCAGAAGCTTTCAGTGAGGAACAGAAAAGCTACATTCAACTACCATTTTATTAAAGGATTACAAACCTAATTCACCTTCCAAGAGTCTTTTTAAAATTTTACGTTAAATTAATTGTTTGATTTAAAATATTTTGCCACCTACTATCAAATTAACATCATTTTTATAGAAGGTGGTTTTATGAGGCTGCTGAAGGGAAAAGAACAAAACATGTAAAACAATAATTTAGATAGATATGGTGTTTATATCTGTGCTGGACCTACACATTAACGACAGTATTCCTTTTATCTCTTCCACTAAAAACACACCATTCCATTTTTAAGTGCTATTATCAAACTTAACCATTTGGTTAGTATTTTCAAACCTTATGTCTGTCTTTTTTTTTTTTTATGCTAGACCGTGATGTATGAATTACAACATAGCTTGTCATCTCTTATAAGGCCCTTCTTCCTCCAACCAATGCATGGTTTTCAGGTGACTTATCGTCATCATGATTTTCCAAAAAAACCATGAGATGAGCTTTGGAAACAAGGTTATTAGAATAACATTTCAGCAAACATCCAGTAGATTCAAATTAAGCTGTATGTTATGTTGATATGCAGCAGATCTTGCTTTTTGCACATCTGCAGTTCTTGGTATTTATCCTCAATGGTAGAATTATTACAGAAGAAAAAAAATGGTTAAATAATTAAGGAGGACAGAATAACTGAGAGATAAGGGAGAAGAGATGCTACATGGGAATAAAACAAAGTTAAATAAGGGGAAGAGCAGAAGGGGTTTTACCTAGAGCAACCTTGGAGAAAGTTGAGACAAGCATGAAAAATCCTAGTATGAGAAGCAAAACATGAGAAAAAGCAAACCAGAAACAAGAAATTATGCATACCGAGTACAAACCACAGACTCAATACCGATTTCACA